AAAATAGCCGTATATCATTGCATTTCCAGTGACAAGTATGTTAAGCGAGACAAAAAGGAGAGAAAGCAATATGAAAGTACTGGTAAGTAGCGAAAATGAGACATTCAACATGCGTGACAAAGCGAATAGCAACACGTAGTACATGCTGGCAGCAGCGGCAATGACTCGTCGGGCAACAGAGAACAAACGAGCAGGGAACAGAGATGATGGTATGAACATGAATGACGAGAGGAAGGGGTAGTACAAGTACCTCACTCTATAAAACAGAAAGTAGCACCAAAATCCGTCAGTTGGGAGACACTATAAAATGACAGAAAAGGACAGTACCAGGTATCGAAGATGAGCGCACGCTCATCCTCAGAATCTTCTTCCACAGTGGGGGGCGCACCATGCCTCCTCGCAGCGATCTCCTTCATGCAGCCCCAGATGTCCTGGAGGATCGACTTGTCGAGGCGGTTGATGGACTTCATATAGCCCCTGGTTGCCACACCGAAGTTGGTGTCCAAAAAGGCCTTTCGAGAGTTGCTGATCTTGTCTGAGGCTTTGTTCATACTGTGGGGGACCTTGACAGCATTGCCTTTACTGTCGACTTCCAATTCACTGACGAGCATCTTGTCATGGCCGATAATCTTGAGGGCACATTCCATCTGAAATACAAGAAATACGTTAGTCACGATATGATAAGAGGGTGAATATACATGCTGCTGCAGTGGCAAGACTAAGAGTGCCCTTCGTGTGCATGACCTTCCTGTGGCTATCAATAGCGCCCCAAGTAGCACACCTGTGCTGTACGAGGACTTGAACAAGGAGTTCCAACTGAAAGGGTTTCTTGAATTGTCTGTCCTCCATGATGCTACCATACAAGAACCCTAGCTTAAAAAGTAAGTTGTTTGCGAAATCTTCGCGGTCTTGGTCGGTCTGAACATCATCCTGTAATGACATGAAGTGCATGAGTGTGGTGACAGCGGTAGTGCCCATGCCATTGCGCCATTCAGATAGCCACTGGGTGGCCTAAGAAAAAACAAGAACAATCAGATATGAATTGCATCAAAGATCACTTACTAAAGCCATAACAGGCCCATCAGTAGTCACCTTGTGTGGTATGTCATTGTATACCACATCCCAGGTGTCCTGCACAGTAGTGCAGAGAACTTCCTCCAACTTGGGAAGAGCCCAAGCCCAGACCTCATCTTGATCTCCAATCGTGAAAATGAGAGTAGGGATGAATACCACACTCCACCTAGCCACTGCCCAAGAACCTCCAGGAAGGTTTTTGATCCTGTAAGCAGAATGGGGGAGGATCTCCACCTCGACAAAGTTCAACACAGCGCCAGAAGTAGCACTCAAGATACTGGAAAGACTGTGAGTATGTGTGACGGAAGACTTTGTCTGCTTAGCCACAGGAGCTTTGTGTTTGACACCAACATTAGTCTACATAATTTGTAGTTAGTATGATTTGAATATTAATAACCGAAGTTTACTACCACAGAAGTGACCCACAAGGACACTGGTTTGGATTTGGTCTTGACCACCACAGGCTTGCTGTGCCTCACAAATTCAACATTGGACGAAGGTGTATCTTCCTCAATCATGAAGTCATCATTGACCATGAAGTCATCCTCAATCTGGTCGTCCTCAATCTGGTCATCCTCAATCTGGTCATCCTCAATCATGTCATTATCGGTCAGGCCATCCTCCATATCTGCGAGTTTGCGCTTGATGCTCGTTGCCAGAATGGTAGAGTGGGATGTTGGAGTTCGAGCGAGAGCTGCAGCTCGACAGATATCAGCATCATAATATCCTTGGGGGACCTGTGTAGAAGGAGGAGGCTCGAGATCATACCCAACCAGTGGTGGCTGACAACAAGGTGAGTTTTGTCACCATTCTTCAAAAATTGTAGCCTAAGCTGACTCTGAATTCATACATATGACCCTACTTTGCTCTGACGTACCCACTAGTATACTAGTGCGATCTTCTGCAGTTGCCATTAATATTGGGAGTCTCTAACATTTTTCAGGCACTCTGGATACTATCAATCCAACACTTTGCCTGTGAGACATCAATGTCATGGTTCACTAACACCTTTCTGACGAGGAGATAGTCTACTAACACTCCCCACACCATTAGTACTAGTTTTCATTTGTTGGCGCAGTGAGACTGAGGTTCACCACTGCTTTTCCAGTGTAGAAAGCTTTTTCGGTACAGTTTGCTCGTGTCCAAGCCTCAAATCTGGCCTTCATTATCAAATTTGTCACATTGGTACCGGTGATTACAGACGGTTGCACCCCAAACCTTGAATGTGTTAGCCTTCGAAACCTTCATCAACATCTAGCGTAGCACACATGCCTCCCCGTCGTGCTCACCACCTGCTTCAGCTTCCATGCCCAGTTCCAGGATGCTCGCGCTGGTTTCAAAACCAGTCAGGTCTTACACAACACAGGCGCTCGCTTCACCCAACTTTACCTGTTTCAGGACCGTCCCCTCAGGATCATCCCCAGCCATCTTGTTCACCCTCCTGCCCTTGAGATTTCTCACTGCCCCCTCCGGATTTTTTACCTCCACCCCAGCCATCATCTCCCATACTCCCTGATCCAATTCAAGAGGATTCAAACAATGATGCAGAATTCACTGATGCGAGCAAGCATTGCTATCGCACATAATGTTAAATGGTAAGTTTCTTTCAAGTTTGAGTACTCCGTTTTTGACTCAAATGTACGCTTAGGACGACCATGCACAGCTGATGGGACATTTCTGCCATATGGCACCCCTCCGACTCCTGTGCCATTGAAGGCTCCTAATGATTGGAGCCCATATCGCAATAGGATCAAATTTGAGGCAGCAGAGTTCGCATTCAAAAAATGTCATATGTCGGCGAGAAATTTGGATTTCTTGTGTGACCTAATGGCCACGACTCTCGCGAAACACCACAACACCCCTCCATTTGCTGATCACAAAGATCTGCACAATGTCATAGATGTGACGCAGCTTGCTGACGTCCCTTGGCAGTGTTTCTCTGTTCAATACTCAGGAGAACGACCTGAGGTTGTCCCACCGTGGATGGACAATGAATTCAAGGTCTGGTATAGGGACCCCCGTGCAATTGCGCACAATATCATTGCTAACCCTCACTACAAGGATGAAATTGACTATGTACTATTTCATGAATATGATGCATCGGACAACACACACCGATGGAAAGATTTCATGTCTGGAGACTGGGCATGGCAACAAGCAGTACATCTTCCATCTCTTTCTGGTATCACTCGTAATATAGCTAATATTTCATCAAGGACACCATATCGCAAGATCCAGAAACACATGGATCCGCTTTGGTCCCAATTATTCTCGGTAGTGACAAATCATAGTTATGAGTACTTGCACTACTAACTTGACTTTTGTTCCTTGAAATAGATGAATGTACTTTTGATTGCTTATCTGTGCCTTATCGTGCTTGTTTATCATGTGCTTCTTTTCGACTAACGCGCTCAATTAAATAAATGTAAATAAGTGGTAAATAAGATTTAACTTCTCAAAAAAAGTGACGCCAATGAATGTGTGAATTTACTGATGCCAGTAGCCCCTCCACTCTGTGCATGAGCCCGCATGCATCTGGTACTACCATATACCACAGTCTACCCTTCTGCAACCGTATATTTCCTCCACTCAATCATCTTTCATCATCCTTTATAACTCACCCTACTTCGCCACAGAACCTATATAGAATGATCTCTCGGCACTCATGTCCGATCGCTTCCAGTTATTGATGGAATGTTACAGATTTGTCCATGGGCATGTGTGGTGTGTACTGATTTACTTGCTTCTCCGCATGGTAACGATCCATATCTCCCTAGTCACATCAATATTGTCTATGCTACTAGTGCCAGACTTCATGTGGACAGTTTCCCCCTCTTTGTCAATGCTTCTCTCAATGAGATGCTTGATCGACACCTGGAACTGTCATTAGCAACCTGTAAGAAAGGCTATGCCTTTGACCATGAAAGCTCGCTTCAGTCAACACTTCAACAACCGTGACATATCATGCACTGCCTTTTCTTTTGTTTTCCTTTCTGTCCATACTTACATCATTTCATGTTACGGCTGTGCTTATCTTGCTTCTTTTTCCCTTGATCCACGCTTACTACACATGTCTCTTATCATGCTATATTTAGTTCGGTATTACTCAGACGCCTCATTGCTTATGCATGTGCTTACTGATACATACCTATTATTATGTCATACCCTGTACCCAGTATACTATATAAACCCTGGCTAGGTGACACTGATTCTTCAGCTTAACCTACGCTGGTTTTCCTCTGAAACATCTGACTTGACTCTAAGTTACCTCTTCGGTACTTAGCCTTGACTTGACTTGGACGTTCTTAAGACTGTTGTCTTGAACGTATCGACAGACCTTTGGTCTTATTGACTATTGTTTGCCTGCATTATACTTTGGCGTAACAAAAGGTTAAGCTCTATCACAAGACGACGCTACCCTAGTAGTCGTCACAAAACATCGTGGCTTATAGAGAACAAAAACGATACTCCTCAGAGTCAGACCAAGAAGAAGAACACTTTTCTGAACCAGGTTCTCCTATCCAACAAGACAAGAACGAATACTTTGAAGGGTACAGACCTGATCAACCAGGACCATCTGAACCACCACTGCCACCACCGCCTAGATCCCTGACTCCACCACCTGAACCCGCACCTAGAACACCTAAGAAAATGGGTGAAATAAATCTGAACAAACCGGCCATCTTCAATGGTTCGCAGAAACAGGCGAAAGCCTGGTGGACATCCATAATGACATACGTGACCGTGAATAAAGAAATCTATGACAGCAATGCAAAATGCATTGCATTTGCAACGTCTTTTATGCAAAAAGGACACGCTCAACAGTGGGCCACCAGATGGCTTACTAGGAAATACAACACCACAGACCCTCTTGGGAAATGGAGTGAATTCATCACTAGTTCAAAGCAGTGTTCTTCCCAAAGAACGATACCTTAACCGCTATCAACATTCTGATGAAAGCGAAGCAAACTTCGACTATTTCGGCATACATCGCCTACTTCAAGAGAATCTCGGCAGAAGCCGTATGCGTAGATTCTGATGTCGAAACAACGTGTTTCAGACAAGGACTTAAGAAAGAAGTCCAGGAAGCAATTCTTATGAGAGAAAAGATGCCCACAGATATCAAAGAATGGATCGAAGCTGCTAGAGAATACGAATCTAGAAGGCTACTCATAAACTCTAGTGGAGGCTTCACAAAGAAAAATGATCCATACGCAATGGACATTGACAAGGTCGACATAGACGAAGAAGAAACCACTCAAGTACGCAACGCTCGACTCTTGCGGTCCGAACAAGACAGGCGCTGCAAGCAGGGACTCTGCTTCAAGTGTGGAAAGAAAGGGCTTATGAAAGATTGCCCCAACCACAGAGACTCTGCCCCTGGTTGGCAGAAACCGGCCGGACGACCGGTCCGCGAAACTAAGATCGAACAAGACGATCAAGACACAGAATATCAGGAGTTCCTCGCCTGGAAGGCTTGGAAAGCGTCGAAAGTACCTTCTTCTTCTAAGAAGGATTTCTAAATGGGGAGACCGGACCGGCGTCGGAAACCCCTAGTACATCTATTGGACTCATTGTATCTTCTGTAGGCGATTCGAATTCTATGTGCATTCCTATTTCAATTGAATCCTGCAAGTCCGATAAAACCGCTGAAGCAGCTGCCCTAATTGACTCGGGCGCCGCTGGAACATTCATTGACTGGAAATACGTACAAAAGAACAACTTCTCAACCCACAATCTCTCCTCACAAATCGAAGTCCGGAACGTGGATGGAACAAAGAACAAAGCAGGAACTATAAACAAAGCCTGCAATCTATTCTTCTCGGCAGGAGGCCGAACCATGTTCGCCACCTTCCTTATTACCTCCTTAGGAGGCGAAGACATCATCCTCAGACTTCCATGGCTCAAGAATGAAAATCCAACTATAGATTGGGCTAAAAGCGAAATCTCGCTAGAAGAAGACCCAATCATGATTCAAACCCTTATCTCTGACAGAAACAAACACGCTTCTATGCAACCCAGAATAGAAGAAATCATAGACGAAGAAGCCTATATGCCTGTGGAGGAAATTCCCGAGGAACAACCGGAACTTTTACCCGAAGAAGAAGACCTAGAAGAAATAATAGAAGAACTACAAGATGACGAAGTTCTTATCGCTTACATCAAAGGAGAAGAATTCGTGGGAGTATACGAGAAAATCAACTTTGATTCACCACTCACTCAGGAACATATTCCCTCTTCCTTTTCCTTCGTGTCTCGAACAAACAGAATTTCTAAAGTCCCCAACTCTGCCCGATTCATGTTCTCCCCACTTCCTGTTCGGAAAGCTGCCAATGTCGCTCAACAACTAGCACAAGAAGTGTACACTAAAGAAAAGCCAAAGACATTTGAAGAACTTGTACCCAAAGTCTTTCATATGTACAAAGATGTCTTTGACAAAGCTGCTATGGACACCCTACCCCCGTCTCGACCCTTTGACCACAAGATAAAACTGAAACCAGACTTCGAACCACGTTCTTGCAAAATCTACCTGTTATCCGCACCAGAAGAAAAGGCAATGAATGAATTCATAGACGAACACTTGGCAAAAGGAACTATTGTACCATCTCAATCTCCACAAGCATCTCCTTTCTTCTTCGTAGGAAAGAAAGACGGTTCCCTTCGTCCATGTCAAGACTATAGAAGACTTAACGATGCAACCATAAAAGATGCATATCCACTCCCTCGAATTCCTGACCTTATCGACAAGTTGAAAGGCGCAACAATCTTCACCAAGATGGATGTTCGCGCAGGATACAACAACATCAAAATTCACGGTCCAGATAGATGGAAAGCAGCATTCAAGACATCAAGAGGACTTTTCGAACCGACAGTCATGTTCTTCGGTCTATGTAATGCGCCAGCAACATTCCAAGCAATGATGAACGACATCTTCTCGGACATGATTGACGAAGGTTGGATGGTCATTTATATGGACGATATCTTAATCTTCTCCAAAGACCTCAAATCCCATCATCAATGCACAATGCGTGTACTACAATGACTTCGTGATCACCAACTCTCTCTCAAACCCAAAAAATGTGTCTTCGATACAACTGAAGTCGAATACCTTGGTCTCCTCATCCGTCCAGGACAGATTTGCATGGACAAAGTCAAATTGGACGGAGTAGTCAAATGGGAACAACCAACGACTGTCAAACATGTCCGATCATTCCTGGGGTTCGCCAATTTCTATCGACGATTCATTGCCGACTATTCTACTATCGCGCGACCACTCATTGATCTCACAAGGAAAGATTCCATCTTTGATTGGTCATCAGCTTGCGATAAAGCGTTCACTGACCTGAAGAACCGATTCCTCTCCGCCCCCATACTTTCTATCCCTGACAAAGACACCCCGTTCACAATTGCCGTGGATGCATCTCTTTATGCTACCGGCGGAGTACTCCTTCAAAAGGACTCCAATGGTGACTGGCACCCCTGTTCCTACCTCTCCCAAACGTTTTCCCCTGCAGAACAGAATTATCAGATCTTCGACCATGAATTACTGGCTATCATCCGAGCCTTGGAAGCTTGGCGCCATTACCTAGAAGGTTCCCCTTTTCCAGTTCTTGTCATGACCTGACCATAAGAACTTGACCTACTTCCGCCAAGCGCAACAATTAAATCGTCGACAGGCCCGTTGGCTTCTCTTCCTCTCCCGGTTCGATTTACAGTTACAACATGTACCAGGCAAAGATCTTTCCGTTCCTGACTCCCTGTCCCGCCGACCTGATCACATTCCCGCCGATGCCACAGACAACTCCAATGTCACCATCCTACCTGACGGGCTGTTCATTAACCTCATTGACAGCACCATGCAGGAGAAACTTCATATCTCATCTTCAGTCGACCCTGTAGTTCAACAGACCCTTGATGCCCTTTCAAATCCCACCCTACCCCTCCCTATGAAAACTGCACTATCTGATTGGACATTTTCCGATGCTATTCTCACTTTCAAAGGTCGCAATTACATTCCCCCCAGTCCTTTATGTAAAGAACTGATTTCACTTCATCATGACTCTCCCACTGCCGGCCATCCCGGCCGTTTTAAAACTCAGGAAATCCTCTCTCGTGACTATTGGTGGCCCGGTCTTCCCACCTTCATTTGCAAATACGTTGAAGGTTGTGCCGTCTGCCAACAGAACAAGGTCAATACTCACCTGACAGCGCCACCTCTTTGCCCTATTCCCGCCCCCACTTCATCCCGCCCCTTTGCTCAGTGCTCGGTCGACCTCATTGTTGACCTCCCTCCATCTAATGGCTTTGATTCT